CCCCAGCCACTTCGAAGGTTTTCATTACTGGGGGACACGCCACGCCACTTCACACAACAGCTCATGCTCATGTTAGACAGTTAAAATCTTATAAATTCTTACTCTGAGTTGAAATTCCATTGCTTCTTAACCTAATTCTACTCTTTAGAGTGATACAGAACAACTCTCCTCTACCTTCTATATAATCCTCTGAGTATTTGAAGACAAGCTTTATGTCTTTCTATATTTTTTCCATCTCCATATTAAACATTACCAATTCCTTCAATAAAATCTCACATGAACATGGTTTCCAGATGTTGCTGATAAATTTGAGTTGCAGTTTGACTCTAAAATTTCCCTAATTTGAATACAAAGAAGAGATCTGAAGATTCATTTATTTCTAATTTATTTGCATCTTTAGTCAACAAATTGGAGGGACTGTCCAGAACTCCATAGGCCCCTTGGCTCAGGAGCTGTATTCTTTCTGATAACTGATGTCCCCACTCCCAATGCACACACATGCAAGCAGGCTTTCTCCCTTTCTCCCTTTTTCTTCCCCTCCTCCCTGTCTTACCACCACCACCACCACAGATACACACACATCCCAGTCATAGAGGTAGCTCTGTGATACAAGAACAGTCAAAGAACACTGTCTCTCCAGCCACAATGACTGGCTGAAAGAACACACAAGCTGAAATTTGTCAGTTATTCTCCAAGACTTCTCAGAAAAGAAACTCTCAAGGAACTCAGAGAAGGCCTGCTTTCCTCTTGGCTTGCTGAGCTATTAGATGTGAAGGTCATTCATCCACCTCATGGAATGAGCACAATTTAGTAGAAGGAGATCACTATGCAAAAGAGTGTGGGGACAGAGATCCTAGTTCCAGTCAGTCCTGAAACCACCTCTACTCTTTCCTGGGGAATAGTAACATAAGTAACTCCACTCTGGCTGGATTAAGTTTGAGTTAGGTTTGTATCACTTATTACATAGAGATAGGTCTAATATAATATCCAGATGGCTCCTATTGAAACAAGACCAATGGCATACAGGTCATAAAGCAGAAAGATTGCCACCCAACCTATAAGAGGATGTGATAGGATATCTTCCAGCATTATTTAAGAATTGGCATTATACTCACCTAACAAAATCTGTCTGTCTTCTCTAACTGCCTAGGTTCCATGGGACTGACACTGCTCAAAATTCTAAGACCATCATCATGCCTGGCACATAGTAAATAGGTACTTAAAATACCTTCTCCTACAGAGACAAACTGATGATGAAGTAGGCAAAACACTGAATTTAAATTATGAAAACAAAATATGAATTCCCTGGAGAAACCCGAAGCATATCATTTCACCTTTTTAGAGTTAGATTACTCATGAAAACTGTGGGACTAGATTATCTCTTTGGTCTTTTTTTAGCCATAAAATGGTATGTTTCTATCCATACTCAATAACCAAGAATCAGTTCATGCATATTAAGAGGAAAAATATTCAGTAAAAAAGAAAGAAGTATAAGATAGTGTGAAACAATAACATACCAAGTAATAATTGGGAGTAAAAAAAAAAAGCAACACAAAACTAACAGGAAGAAGTTATCTGTAATATGAGAAAAGAAGTCATTCAGATGTGCCATCTGCCTATTAGCTTCCTGTCTTATTCTAAGCAATTTGTGATTAGAAATTACTTCTGTGCTGGATCCACACTGCTAACCCAGAGGCTTGCCTCCTTCATGAGCAAGTGTAATTTCCATGATGGATCCTTCAACCCTTCCAGACGTCCCTTTTCAGAGTAGCACTCTTGCTTGTGCCTTTCTCCCAGATTTTCCTACCTCCTCTCTCACCATTTCAAATAGTTTTTCTTGTCATAAATGGAATGCCTATTATATTGTGTGTCCCCCATCCCCTGCTCCTTATCCTGCCCCCTGCAATGATTAATGTCCAAATGTCCATAATTTCCAATTTACTGCTTAAATTTAGAACTTAGGATTCTCAGTACAGAAAAAAACATAAAATGGCATCTCTATAAGTAAGTCAAGGTAACCCATTTATACCCAAGCTGCTCTAAGGAACTGACCTCAGATCCTTTTGGGAAAAAAGGCCTTTATTAGGCAAAATATTATTAAAATTAGCAACTAATATCACAGTACTACTATATATCACATATTAAGTCTTAAGTACTGTATACCAGCAGTTTATACTATGCATATAAACTATGCTAAGCATTTTACATATATTAGCTCATTTAGTTCTCATAATATCTCTATAAGGGACATTCTAATTATTCAAATTATTCTAATTATTTAAAGGTGAAGAATCTGAGGCTCAGAAAGAGTAACTTACTGGTTACATGGCTGGTTAATACAAGAACCACATCCATCTGACTCCAGATTCCTAGCTGTTACCCATTATTTGATCCATAAGGGCACTGATCTTTGAGAGAAATGAGGAGGAGGTACCAAGGGAGGATCAAAAGCAGAGAGCCTAGGCAAATAAAATCAGCAGGATCTACTTCTCAGTTTTGCTTAGAGCCAGCTCTATTTGAAATAGAACCTTGTTCCCATTAAGTAGCAATAGATTATCTGCCATTTTGCATTGTGAAAATGTACCCTCCATTATCCAGGCTAATCTGGTTGACTGTAGAATGCTGTACACAAACATTACAATGACAGACAACTAATTCAGTCTTCTCTGCTAGGAAGATGCTAAGGTTAACATCTTTTCAACTTTATTCCTATAGCTTTGGATGCAGGGTGCTTCACTTATGTCACAACGATTCCTTCCTACAGTATCTAGAGAAGAAAAGCAATTGAGAATTGCTGGGAAAAAGAGAGGATGGTATTTTTTTAAAAAAAAAAAAAAAGAGGATTATAAAAAGTGATACAAACAAAATACTACCATAAGAATTTTTTGAAGAAAATTGGGGCTGGGGTTGTGGCTCAGCAGTAGAGTGCTCACCTAGCATGTGCAAGGCCCTGGGTTCGATCCTCAGCACTATATAAAAATAAACAAATAAAAATATTGTGTCCAACTAAAAAAATAAATATTAAAAAAAGAAAACCAGTATAAGTGAATTGAGTATTTGATAACTTGTGATTTGGAGAGAAATTAATATTTATGACCCATCACTAAATAAAGGAAATAATTACACTGTGCCATATAAATCATATGTTTAAATGGTCAAGCTGAAATTTTCCTACATTATGAAATAGAGATATTCAGTATTTCCTACAGAAGTAACACCTTACTGTTTGTGATCTATGCAGGGCTTCATTTAATGGCAGCATCATTTCATCACTCAGCAAAAAAGCCAATTATTTTGAGATTCTGGGCCCTCCTCTAACTTCTAAATCTTCATCTATTCACTAAGACATTGGTTTAAAAAAATGAATCCCTACTAAACAGTCATTAGGTGTTTCTGTCTCAGTTTTATATGAGACTTTTTAATAAAAGTCTCAGTTTTGGTGAAATAATAGTTAGGAAGCACACTAGCAAACTCTGGTGTCAAACAGGAATATATAATATCTAAATAAAAAGAATAAAGCATAGGATGAAATATAACAGACGAACTCACTTAAGTGAGCATGCTTATGTTAAAAAGTTTGGAAGTAACACTTGGCTGTTTTAGGACCAAATGAAGTGGCAGAATCTAAAATAACATACCATTAAAATTTTTTTAAAAAGAAGGTCCCAAAGTATCCTACTGAGAGACTCTAATGCCCTCATTCCAAGCCCAGTCAGTTTCTTATTCTAATCAATTTCCATGAAACAGGGAAAGGAGCAGGGAGGAGAGAGTATTTGAAAAACTACCAGAGTAAAAAAAAAAAAAAAAAAAAAAATCCTATAATGAAATTTTGCTCATACTTGGAGAAATGAAGTAGAATTAGATGCTTCAGTGGCAGCGAATTCCAGAATCTGGGTAGTTTCCAGTAAATGAAGCTTTTCCATAATGTCAAATGCAAAAGCTATCTGATACCAACATTACTGAGCCGAGTGTTTAAATTCCTATTTCCTTACACCAAATTGTTTGAACCTTTGAGATAAAAACTTCAATAAACTAGTGTTCCAAGCTTTTAATATTTTAGTCCCTTGAGCAAGCATGTCAGATTAATCTTCAGATTGCAATGGGCATAAAGAGCATTCAACCAAATTCTTAAACCCATACCTCTCTCAAAGGATGTTAATAGCATAAGCAGTTTCATTGACTATTAGATTTCAAACTTTCCTAATCTTCAACTGCATTACCACTTTCTAAAAGGGGGGCGGAGTGGGGGGGAGGAGCCATTCCCTCGTTAAAGCAAAGTATGTTACTTACGTGATCTTTGTACCCACTCAGTTGGTAGCACACTGCCAGGCACACAGTAGGCATTTAACAAATATTTTTGAAAACAATTGATAGAATGGCCTGAGAGAGAGTGGAAATCTTGCTGAGAACAGCATGAGCCCAAATCCTGGCACTGCTGGGTAACAAAGACCATCTCCAGAATTAGGGTTATCGATGTAAAGCAGGAATTTGCGGGTGGATCTTCAAAGAGCCATCAGGAAGATTGTTTTCTGAGCTGATGGGCAGTCACCCAAGAGCCACTTATGAAGAGATTACATTCCTCTCCTCTATATCATGCCTGGAAAACTCCTGCCCTCCACCACCACCACCTCCCCCTGCCTTTTCCTGGGTTTGGGGTTCCGCCACAGAACTTAAGTATAAGATTCCAGCCTCTGGTCTAACCAGCCCCCGACCCCATAGCCATTCCACGGTGTTCATTGAGCAGGCAGGATACACAGCACACGACAGCTCCCTACACCTTTGAAGGTGAAAGCAGGAGGTGGGAGGGGGTAGCGGAAAGCAGGGGGAACTAAAGAACTGGTGAGTTCAAGATCCCGGCGCTAACCAGAGATTTCTCATCCCTCACCCAAAGCCTCGGCCCCAACCGCTACAAAAGGCTGACAAGCTCAGGGACTTGGGGGAGAGGGGCAGCACTTGGGGCAGCAAGGTAGCAGGAAGCTAGACGGGACATGGGACAGTACCTGGTGTGGCTGTGGTTGCGGGGGCAGTCCTTCTTCTCCATGATGGCCGGCACGCAGTTGGTGAGCTCAGTCCAGTCCGCATGCAGCCCGCAGCTCCAGCCGGTGGAGAAGCGGGAGAAGAGCCACGTCTCCTTCTTGCCGGGCCGGTGGCAGGTGCACTTCTTCTGGCCGGCTTTGCAGCTACAGGGCTGCTCCAGCCGGATGTTCTTCACCAGGTGCCGTCCGAACGTAGTGCCCCCGGTCTTCTGGATGTGCAGGAACACAATCACGTCGCGCCCTTTAATGTTGAAATCCACGAAGCGAGTCAGGTCCTTCAGGGTGAAGTTGAAGCGCGGCACGAAACGGGGCAGGGACCCGTTTTCGGGGGCCTCGGGGTCCGGCTCCTCTTCCTCTTCTTCCTCCTCCTCCTCTGGATCCCCCGGCTCCTCGTCTTCGTCCTCCGGCGCCGAGACCCCCTGCATCCCTTCGGGCGGCCCCCGGGGCGGCGGCGGCAGCTGGGGCCGCCGCTCCCACTCCTCCGGAGGCGCCTGTGCGCGGCGGGCGGGACTCGGGGCGGCTGGCGGGCGGGCCTCCCCCGCGCGGGGCTGCTCCCCGAAGTTGGTGCAGGAGCTGGTGCAAGAGGGGGACACGTACTGGTACATGATGACCACGAAGAGGAGAGTGAGCACCGGCGTCAGCAGCCACTTGTTGAACCTTTCATCCATGGTCCCGCTCTCAGGCCGGCAGGTGAAGCGGCGGCGGCGGCGGCGACGATGGCTGCAGCGGCGCGGACCGGCGCCTGCTCGGAAGTTTCGGGGACTCCGGGGCGCGGCTCGGAGCCCGCCGCTCCTCCATGCCCCTGACGCCGAGGCGTGTGGCTGGCTGGCGGCCCCGCAGCACTCGGGGGCTGACGAAGCCGGGGCCTGTGAGCCGAGCAGGAAAGGCGGGCGCCGGCGCGCGCGGCTGCGGCTGCGGCGTGGAGCGCCCTACACTCCCGGGGGCGCCGGGCTCGGCCGGCTCCTCGCTCCCGCCCGGGCGCGGCGCGGCGCTCTCAGGCGACACAGAGCATCCCGCAGCCGGCTCGCAGACGCTCAGGCGCTGGGAAGCGGGGATCGGGTCCTGGACCTGCCCGGGGCAGCCGGGCAGCTGGGCTGCTGTGGCCGCGAGCGCAGGGGCTGCATGAGGCTCGCCAGGGCGCCCGCCAAGGGCGAAGGCGCGGCTCGGCCCCGCCGCCCCAGGCGACCGTGGCACCGCGCCCCTCTCGAGTACCCAGCACCTTTGCCGGTGGGTCGACGGGCGCGGGATCTTCGAGGGCGGACGGCGCCCGCTGCAAGTTTGCAGAGCAGCCCCCTCAGCGGCAGCGGGCGACGCGCCTCTGTGGAGCCGCCTCTCCTGGATAGTCGCACTGCTGCTTCGGGTTGGTCAGCCCAGGAGCAGGGACGTAGACACTCTCTCACACACAGGCTGGCACAGCCACAACCCGCCAGCCGGTGTGACAGGAGCCCTGCTACCCGCAGCAAAAAACCTGCCCTAGGTACGGAGCATGCGCCAAAGCCTTCCCCAGCCCCGGAGGAGTTTCCAGGGGAGGAGTCGGGGCTCCGAGGGGCTCGGGGGCGGCAACTGGGGGTGGGAATCCCTTCAGCCTGGAGCGAAGAAAGATTTGGCAGAAAGGCTAAGGTGCAGCGAGAAACAGCCCCCAGGAGGGCGTCTCTGGTGCTGATCTGACACCTCTACACTGGCAGCTTTCTCAGTTTGAGAGTGGACAGAAACCTGGGCGGCCTTCTTTACAGAAATAACCGCTGAAGGAACCACCTAAACTAGACTTAACACGGATTCGCTGGTTCCTCCTGGGCAGGGGAAATTGCTCCCCAAGACATCCTTAACTGGTGCTCAAAATTTATTTCGGTCCTTTCTCAACTACGAACTTACCTATGCCCAACTCCACTCTGTTTATTCAACCAGCATCCATTAGATGCCTTTTGTATATGAGACTCTGTGTTCAATGCACATTTCATTTCTTCCAGCTCCGGACTGTCCAGTCCACAACCATGCAGAACATACTAGTTTAGTGATCACCTTCTAAATTCATTCTACTAATATGTACTGGGTTTCTTAATGTTCAAGGCTGACTCCTTTGCACCTACTTTTACATATATTTCTTTTTTTTTTTTTTTGAGAGAGAGAGAGAGAGAGAGAGAGAGAGAGAGAGAATTTTTAATATTTATTTTTAGTTTTATCGATGGACACAACATCTTTGTTTACATGTGGTGCTGAGGATCGAACCCGGGCTGCACAAGCATGTCAGGCGAGCTCGCTACCGCTTGAGCCACATCCCCAGCCCCATATATTTCTTTTTAAAAAAATTTTTTTTTAGTTTTTGACGGATATTTATTTATTTATTTATTTATTTATTTTTATATGCAGTGTTGAGAATCGAACCCAGTGCCAAACACATGGTGGGCAAGCCATCTACCAGTGAGCTATAATCCCAGCCCCCTTGGGTGGCTGTATTTCATAAATTAAGCCCTTCTTTTTCTGCAGATGTTTTTGAAAACTTTATTTCTCAAGTATTTAGATTTTGTATTTAATCCCAAATATTTTCTTAAAATCAACCTCTATTTTTTAGATAATGAATGGATTTACCATCAAATTAGAGTAACTGCCCCACCACTATCCCTAGACCTGCCTGACCTGCTTTCTGAGTGAAGAATGGCAGTGTATTGAAGTTGGAGTCAATGCAGTGTGACTTCCTGGTCCAGGCCAAACTGCTTCTCCTGGATATCCTGCCAGCACAGTTCTGGGCATTCCACACCTCCATAGTAGCCCACCTGCCCAAGTGGCCTCTTTGTAATCTATGCAGTAAGTACTTCCTGAGACCCTGTTGATCTCCTTATCATGTCCCCTTTGCAGCCATTCAGATCTCCTTAAGTTATGCTAAAGTTTGCCCATAGGAAATTTATTTTTATTATTCTTTTTTAAAAATATTATTTTGGGGATTCTTCTCAATAAAGTTTTCTTCCTTTGTTTCCTTTCCTGTTTGTGACTCTATAAACATCCACAAACTGTGCCCTTACTGAGGGAGCCTATATTTGTAAGAAAGGTGTTGGGTTAGATAAATCAGCTTCTCTAAAGTTCATTTGATTCTATTTATTTTGCTCTCACTTAGGTTTAAAATACCATTAATGGCATCACACTACACTTCAAAGCAAGAAATCGTGAGAGAATAAGAACCCAATAGAATCCAGCAATTTTTAAAAAAAATTTTTTTAGTTATAGATGGACACAATACCCTTTATTTTATTTTATTTTATTTTATTTTATGAGATGCTGAGGATTGAACCCTGTGCATCACACATGCTGGGCATGCACTTTACCACTGAGCTACAACTCCAGCAATTATTTCTTGAATACATCTAGCTGATGGTGTTGCTTATTTATATATGTATATATACCTCCAAATATATATATATATATATATATAAAACCTTTAATCAAGTAATAAAATCATTATACTTTTTCATATAACCTTATTTGAGAAGGTTCTTATTTTCTATACATTTACTTGATATCACACAGACAAATAGAACCTTTTTAGTCACCTAAATTGTTAACTGGAGCACTAGTGGTAATTTCCATAGTGGAAAAGCTCTTTCCTAGCCATTGTGCCCTTTGTACCTCAGAACAAAATCCTTAAGGAGATTAATGAAGTATAATATCCCATTTCAAAGATGAGGAAACTGAACCAAAGAAAGGTAGGTGAAAGCAAAGTCAGGTTTAGAAACTAACTTCCCTGGAGTATATTCAAATCATCACTGAAGAAATCCAGAGAACATCAACAACAGAGCTCATAATTTCCTCTCTCCCCTCTTGGGACTCTTTGAGTCAGGAATCAGGAAGAGACAACAGAATAATTAAATTATTTTCCCTTTCCCCTGGCTTTATGAGCAAAGCTGAGCAATTCTACATCCTACAGTACTTTGGAACCTACTCTGTAAGTTTCCAGATAAACAGGGGAAAGATAATAACAATCATGAAATTATTATACCATTATTAAAATAAGTTATTTAGAAGAATTTCAAAAGAAAATATTGTAACAAATATAACAGCTATGTTGCTAATACAACTTGTGTGTCCATAAGAATGTCCTTAACAAACATTATCCCAGAAGTTCTCTTTCTGGTTCCAGTAAAATACCTAATGGAGTGCCACCATTTCTTTTAGGTAATCACATGGAAAACAACACAGAGTCAAGGCAATTACATAGATAATTCAGGCATGTACCAGGTATTCATTTTTAATGACAAATAACGTTGGTTGGGTAAACATGGTCTGTCCTAAATTTGGTCTTGGTATGACCTAATCAATGCTCTTAAATCATGCAATAAACAGGCTTTCTTATCTACAAGGGCAGACCTCACATTCGGGCAAAAATGAATAGAAACTTTCTAAAATTGAATGTTCTCCAGGTAAAAAGGAAAAACATGTTTGCATTCAGCCTACTATAGTTACTCCACGATGACACCAGCTGGCAATTGTTTTCTGGCTAACAGATTGCAGCTACTATGATTCCTACACAAATTATTAAAATAATAAAAATAATGTTTTCAAAGAGCTTTCTTCGACTTCCTTTGCCAGTCTAGCAATGAGCTTAACACTATCTGTGAGGCAATTTGTTCACCTAATTTTATGCCTTAATAAGTTTTACTACAATTATTTTCTTGCCTGATTATTTCTCTGCCTTAACTTTAGTACTCTTCTTCCTTTTTCTTCTCAGATATACTCAAACCTGTTAACAACATTGCACTCCCCCAGGATTCAAACTTTTGATTAGAACAGTCTCCATTTAATCAAGTTCAATTGGGAGATAAAATTGCATCTCAACTTCTTCGTTTTCCCTTTGGTGCAAGAAACTGCCTTGAGAATGTTGAGGAAACCCTGGAGAGATTAACAATCCAAACAATAACAGAGAATGGTTTTGGATCCCTACATTAGCACACAGAAATATATAGATATGAATGCCTTTCAATGGCGATGAAAAACAAAATAGATTATGTCAGTCTATGGCAGCGTGGATCTATCTTTCAAAAATAGAAAATGCTCTTATACACTGAAATGACTTCTTTCACATTTTTTGTAAACAACCCCCCCAACCCCCTAGGGTAAGCAGTTTGCAAATAACAGCAAAGTGGTAGCTTTTTTTTTTTTCCTTAGGAAATTAAATGTAAGACTTTGTATAGTCAGGGCAAACTGCAAAAAGAATTGTGATACATGCTAAATGTATTCCAGTTCACTACATGATTGTAACTTTGGGGCAACTGTGACCCTACATTCTGCTTCCAATAGCTTTCTATTTTTATAAACAGCTCATGTTTTGCTTTATTGTACAACCTCTTTATTCACCATAGATGGCAATCTGAGTGAACAGTGGAAACTATGTTAACTGTACGCATAATGTATTAATTCAATATAATGTAAGTAGATGCACTCATTTTTTTCACGGTAGATATGCATTTATTTCTTCAACAAGAACTGGTTAAGCATTTATTGTATACTGGCTATTGTTCTGAGTGTTTTAAACACACCATGAAACAAGAACAATAAGGACCCTGCCCACATGTATCTTACATTCCAACAGTGGAAAAATGAATGATGAAGAAATAAGTGAAATTCATGCATTTAGTTAAAAGATGTATGTTGACACCCTGACATGTGTCAGATATTTTTAGATACTTGGGATACACT